GGATGTCACTTCACTGCAGGATCTGATGAGCCAATCAGCGATCGGCCACACATTTCACAAATCTGATCCGTGTCAGTCTCCAACGGCAGCAACAGCAGCGGCGAGGGCGCCTCCGATTCTGGGCGCTTCCCGACACCACAGTCCGGTACAGTCCGACCACTGTACCGGCCTGACGTGGCCCTACTCGAGTCTCCAGCCGCTCCGACTCGAAGGAAGCAGCAACGCCTGGAGGCTCCAGTCTCAGGTCGTCCAGACAAGCAGCACGGGCGCAACAGTCGACGAATCTGGACTGTCGAAGCCCGGCGATGGCCTCCACGTACGTGAACTGCGACTCCGATCACCTGTGGCCCTCACAGTCATGATAGTTTTTCTGCTCGACTCGAGATCCTTTTTCGACTCCTGATCCTACGAAACCCCGCAAAACATGTACGCACCGGTGACGCAGCTCACGGACCAGGTGGATCCTCCGGCGGGCGGAATGAGTCTTGGGACGCCCTACAAACCCAGCAGCAACATCTCCAAATGTAGTAACAGCAATTAGAGCAATAACTGACATCAAATGATGATGCAACAGCTTCCTAACGCCTCGGGGATAAATCCTGGCTACTCTCCGACGTCCACCGCTGTGCCCTCAAGTGACATTATGATGTCGGGTGAGCGAGCCTGTTCCTGGCTCCAAATCATTGAGCAAGTGTGGTGTTGAGCGGAAGCACTTCCGAGGACAAACTGCCGGTCCTACGCGAGGCGTTATCAACTGTAATCCAGAACCCACACGAGAAGAGCCTCAAGGCACATACCAGCACTAAGATCCCAGCAAGGCTGAGAAGATGATTGCCACGGAGGTTACGAATTGCCCAGATCACGGACGAAATGGTAAGTCCAGCTGAGGTACCTATTGACGGCAAGAGCGACAAGATTTTCTTGGTGGAATCATGGTGTCCGTACTGACCGCAAACCTTCGACACGTCGCTCTATTCCCTTGGTGTATTCTGGTACCACCTGCAAACTTTTTCTCTTGTCTAGAAGACAATACAACAGGTACTCCACTTGTGCAAGTGTACGAGCTGTTTGGTTTTAACCACACCTGCTGGAGTGTTATGCCTGCGCAACTCGTAACGATGCTCGGTATGTTCGTAACGATCGCGTGGTATGAACTACAATGCGCAGCTACAGACAGTAAGCAGGTCCAACATTGTGAGAGCGGCTATACGGGCTTATTTATCGGCTGCCAGGCTGTGTGTACTTTCCTTTTTCGACCGAGTGCAGAGGATCACAGTGTTAGTTGGAGTTACTCTCAATGCATATGAGCTCGCCATTGTTATGACCCTGTTGACAACTGCGCCCAAGTTCTTGCTTTGGCCTATTGTGGTATTTGTTCAAGAAGTGTGTACCTGACAGTGGTTGGTAAATATTTTTGTGGAGTATGCAAATAGTTAAAGACGTTCGAATCGTTATCCGCAATTCTGGTACCAATGTAGTGTCCGATGGTGCTGGTCGTAGCGAGTCTTGACAGCTGGGTGTGATTGTTACGGGGTTGAGCTACAAGGTCATACTTAAGTAACTTCTTTGGGTCGACCACTCTGGTTCAAAACTGCGTCAAAAGATGCGAGAACCGCTAGCTTTGGGCATATTCATGCGAACTACCAGAGAGTTGCCACTGAGACGCAGGCACGATTTAAAACAGACGCCCATACCATAAAATTGCCGACACCTGGCCGACTGTGCCGACAAGACATGATTGGTCGAAAATGTAAGAAAACTGATTGATTCAAGTGAATAGATTGACACG